ACTGAACCACCCAGCTGACTCAATGCTTTCATTTTCTTTAGGTAAGTACCCAGTGGTGGAATTATTGGATCATATGATATTTCTATTTTTATTCTTCGAAGAACTGCCATACTGTTTTCCATAGCAGCTGCTCCAATCTACATTCCCACCAACAGTATACAAGTGTTTCTTTTTTTCCACATCCTCACCAATGTTTGTTGTATCTTCACTTTTTGATACCAGCCATCAATGTGAGGAACATTCTTAGTTTTTAAAATAGACTTCAAATATATATTTATGGGATTATGTGCTCTCTCTGGCTGTATGTTCCTCTCTAAAAGTTATGTTATGTACTGAACCCCTGACTTCTGGTTTTAATGGAAAGTCCCTTTAACATGAGATCAACCCAACTCTGAAACATGAGTGCCACCTCTGGAAAAATCAAATACCTCAGAAACTTTCCATGTTTCTTCTTTGACTCTTTTTTTAATGTGATAGTCTGTCCATAGTCATCGTGACAGACTCCAAGAACCATTCTTTTAATTTTGGTTTTCTCTTAGGAAGATAGACAATTAAGAGGACCCATGCAGTTCAACCTATGTTCTTTAAGAGTCAACCATGTTTACTGTTATTTGAAATATACTTAGATTCATGAAAAATGTCTACACTAGCAGAAAATTTATAACAGTAATATACTCATTTTTGTGGAGCTCTGTTATAACATTATTATGCCATTTCATCAGTGCTATTTTGCTTTACAGGGGTAAATAACCCTGAAGAAAATTTCAATATGATGAAACTTATTGGATAATCTAAATCTCCTTATGATATTTTACTGATTATAATTTGTATAATTGAATTCATATTTTTAATTTTTGAAAATTAGAGCTTACATTTCTATTAGTAATATAATAAAGTTAAGCAAAATGTTATGTACCCTCAACATCTTGGCAGTCATTCTATAATGTTGACTGTTCTTTCCTCCTTAAAATGTCTTCCCTTGGCTTTCATAACACCACATTTTCTCCATTTTTTTCCTATCTTTGCCTTCTCCAACAAACTTTTAGGTAGGTTTATTCTTCTCCATCTGAGAAATATCTAAATATTTCTCAGAGCTTGGTCAGAATGGCCAAATATCTCTGTGAATAAAATAAAAATATAGTTGCAATAAACAGAGTTACAACTTTTCTGGCTAAAAATTATATGTCAGTTGCTTTCTTTAAGTCTAATTTTTTGCTTTCTAAAAAGACTGCACTGAACTTTAAGTTATCATACAGTAATGGCATGCCCTTACATGAAAATGAAGACAATTAAATTGAATGTTAATGAAGACTAGCATACTATTGCTTATGTGAGGTTGTTATATAATAAATTCTTAAAGTGTTTAAAGTTATACTTTTTTTTTCTAAAGATTTTATCTATTTATTTGACAGAGAGAGAGATCACAAGTAGGCAGAGAGGCAGTCAGAGAGAGAGGAGGAAGCAGGCTCCCCGCGGAGCAGAGAGCCCGGTGCGGGCCTGGATCCTAGGACCCTGGGACCACGACCTGAGCCGAAGGCAGAGCTTTAACCCACTGAGCCAGGCACCCTAAAGTTATACTTTTAAGTAATTTTTACATTAACATTCTTGTATTCCTCACTTCAAAGGTGAGAAAGCAAGTCTTAAGAATGTAACTAACTGGAATAAGCCCACAAGTCTAAAAACATTGACAATATTAGACTAATTCTCATGCTTTTTTATTATCAATTTGCATAGCAAATGAAGTTTGTTAGAAAAATAGCGCATTAAGAATTTTATCCATTCTCTATAAAGCAATTTTTATATTGCTTTTTAATAATGCCTGTGTTTTTGTTTATCCTTTGTTTTAACATTGTTGCTTATCTGGGTTCAGATCAGGTAGGACCTCTCAGAGATACAAAGGCAGAATACAAAAGGTTTGTGGGTTTTTAAAAGAGGAATATAAGATAAATTATCATAGTTTTAGTAAGAGAGGAATGAGAATTGATCATTCCCTCTTTCCTACTGAAAATATTGATATTAATGTTTTTCAAATAAGATTCCATGTGTAATTGATTTAATAAATAAAACAAACTCAGGAAGATTTTAAAGGATATAAAAATCGCATTATCATTTTCTTACCACTACCTTCAAAACATTTTATTTCTTTCTCTTCCCCATGTCTTGGAAACAACTTATTCAGGCCTTTTAGCTCTCTGAATATGTTTAAGTATTTCAGAAATAATTCCAGTTCTGGCAATGATCAGATAGTTTTTACTGAACTAACCCAACAAAGAATAACAATTATAAATTCTGTATCAAATTTAAAAACATAAATTAAAAAGACTGGAGATAAACCAAAGGAAGGAAGAAACTGAAGGGTATCTGACTCTTGAAAAATGGTAATTGCATTAGGTGAGATCCACTTTTATACAGTTTATTTATTGAAGATCCACCTCAGTTTAGATGACAAGAGGTACCGGAGCTCAAACAGAAAGTCAGTGTCTTATAAGATTTAAGTGTCAGGAGATGGAGTCTGAGGCAGCCAGGGTGGCCAGAAATTAAAAACAAATCACAGACAGGAGGGAGTCATGGAAGAATGAGCCAAAAATTTGTGAATAAGCTTCCCTCAAGTCCTTGGTTGACTCCTAAACTGCACATGCATGAGGATAACTTTTTAAAAAATCAGCAGAAAGCAACAACCAGAAGACTAAAAGAGCTGAACAAAGATTATAATTACTGCTTATGACAGGGAAGATAGAGATAAAATTTTGAGTCCCTCTAAGTCACAAGGGTTTGATGAAAACCACAGGCTTTTCATAGAAACTCCAGAAGGCTATGCTTAAGAACATAAGGATTGCTAAAACCAATTGATTTTCCCCCAAAACTAAAGAAAATAAAAAAGACCTGACTTAACAACATGTAAAACCAAAGCTCCACAAGTTCAGGGGAAACCTATAATAACTAACTACTAAAACAAAAATCAGTCCTCTTCATAGTATGCAATCTCAGAGACATAATCTCAAATGTTCATAATGTATCAACCACAATGGTCAGTATTCAATCAAATGTGACAAAACAGAAAATGAGAAGAATTAGAAAAATGTGATCTACAGTTAATAGAAAAAGCAGTGAACATAAGTCTATCTGGAGATGGCAAAGATGTTGAAACTGTAGCAGATAAGGACTTTGAAACACCTGTTATCAGTATGGTGAAGGATTTACAAGAAAAGATGATCATAAAAAGATATGGAGTCTCAGAAGAGAAATGGAAATCATTTTTTAAAAAACTGAAATTCTAGGTCTGGAAAATAAGCTACCTAAAATAAAAAAGGTTACCACATGAACTTAGCAGAAAATTGGAGACTGCAGAAGAAAGAATCAGTAAGCTTGAAAGCAGATCAAGATAAACAATTTAAAGTAAAAGAGTAAAAATATTTCAAGAAATTAAATAACACCTCAGTAACTTAGAGACAATATTAAGAGTTTCAACATGAATATTCTCTAAGCTTTAAAGAGAGAGGAGGAAGGGAAAAGCATAGAAAAAATAACTATAGAAAAATTGCCAACATTTACTAGATTATATGAAATTTATTTCGGAAACTCAGTGAATCCCTAGGAGTATAAATACAGGGAAAACCACATGTAGGCAGATCATAGTTACACATCAAAACATCGAAAATGAAAAAAAAAATTTGTAAAAAAGCCAGCCCACACTAAAAAAAGGAACAAAAGTACAAATGATATCTGACTTCTGGCAATATATGGCAAAAAAAACTATAGAAAGACACCTTTAAAATGTTTAACATTGAGAAAAACTGTTAACTCAGAGTTTTATACATACTAAAAATATAATTCAGAACTGAGGGCAATATAGACATTTTAAAGGTTAAAAAAAAAAAAAAGGGTGAAAGACACTATAGGACTACACTTCAAGACATTCCAAAGGAAGTTCTTCTGAAGTAAATGATGGCAGGTGAGTGAACAGAAATGTAGAACTAACTGAAAAACCTTAGAAACAGTGGATAAATGGTTAAATACCAGAAACTTTTTTCTCTTTATATTTATAAAAGAGAACTGAAAGTTTAAGTTGAAAAACTATTACATTTTACTCTGGAGTTCTGAAATAATGATTATTACGACGACAATAGCATAATGGATAGGGTGGTATAAATGAAATTATATTGTTACAAATTTATACATTTTTAAAAATGTGAAGTGGTATGATATTACACTAGATAGAATGTGATAAAAATACATATTGTAATCTCTATACTAACCACACAAAGAGAAATACAAAGAGATACAGTAAAAAGTCAAAAGAGGAAATAAAGTCAAATATGAAAAATATTCAATTAACCAAAAGAGAAGCAAAAAAAGGAAGAAGAGAGAGAAAAATGGGACATACATAAATCAAATAGTGAGTTACAAACCTGAACCCAACTATTCAAAAATTCATCAGGAAGACATAATAATTATAAATGTGTGAGTACCTAATAACAGATTCAAAAAAAATGAAGCAAAATCTGACAGAAATAGAGATAAACAAATAAAGAAGCTTAAGCACTCTTTGAAAAATCAAAGAACAAGGAGAAATATAGCAGTAAGGATAGATCTACCTTACTTAGATCCTGAAACTAAATGATTAGCCCCTAATTGTTTTTTTTTTTTTTTTGCAAATAACATTGCATTTTAAAAGAAAACAATGATATGAATTGTGTTTGTAAATTACATTGTGACTTCAGTGTGTATCATATACTGACAAAATGTTTCGAGTGTAAATTTGGCAAAAGTAAAGCCTTTTGTAGATACTTTTATATAAAGTATTTTAAAATGTAGCTTTATTTTTCTCATCAGTTTTTCTCTACACAGAGTTCATAAAATAGTACTGGCTGCAAGTTTTGTACGCAATATTACCACTTAATCCTCTGTCTTGCACTTATTTTATACGAAATAAGCTTCTAGGAGTTACAGTTCAGTCATTGGTGATAGTTAGATAGGTAAATAGATAAATAAAGGCTTACCTTAAAGACTAGTTCTCCTACCAAGCCATTCCATGTCCCATCTTCTTGTGGGCTTCCATACTTGTGATCCGGTGCAACATAAATTTCATAGTTAAAACCCAGGTAGTTAGATAAGGCATCCAAAACATCAATGGAGAAGCCTTGGTATTTCTTCGGCTTACCCAAGACATTTTCAGAGACCATTACAAAAGGTTCTTCCTACATGGAAATAAGAGAAATCCTTGATGTCAATCTACAGTGCTCCCTGAAACCAAAAATTAATTCTTCAAAGAGTTTTGCTTATACACAGCCTAAAAATTGCTTTTGAACTTTGAAAGAATTAACTTAGAAATATAACTTATGTGTTATTGATGTGTCATAGTATTGAAAATGTTTAATCACTTTATTTCTTTTCATTTCTCATTTAATTACTACTATAACAAAAATTAGATGAAAGTGACTATAAAACTTCAGGGACCATGAATTCATTTTTCTTGTCACTCTAGGACCAATCTACAATTCAGCAATAATAAAATTATATTTAAGAAACCATAAATTTTTTGTATCCTGAAGCATTTGTTTATCTATATGTCAAAAATATGTAAAATAATATTTTAACAGATAAACTCTACATAAACTCTCTGAAAAGAACAAAAAATTCTAAGAATGTATAGTTTAATGAAAATTTATAACATAACATTTACTTGGAATTATTTGATAAATAATTTTGAAATGTAGATATAACCACACATTTCATTGAAAAAACAGCTTCTCTATCATTGCTATGAAAAATCCACTTAAGTTTTTGGCAAACTGTGTAATTTAGTAAATTTAGCAAATGGGTTTCTGTTTCTACATCTTTTACCATTTTGGGTTTTTGTCCTCTTACAATTAACAAATAGGCTACTTTCACTTTTTAGAACACCTGATATTAAGGAAGCTCAATTGGTTTCAAACATGCTGGCAGACTACAGAAAATTAGATAATCTACTCCTAAATTTCTTAAATTTGTTCAGAAACCTTTTAGAACAGTAATATTTACAGATAACCTCTCAGAACAGTAATATTTACAGATAACCATACACACACACACACACACACACACACAGATTTTAACCTGCCCGGAGGGCTAGATGTCTATCTAGCCCTCTGGGCAGGTTAAAATCTATTCTGGGTTTAAGTCAGAAAACCCAAAGACTTTATCCTTGGATCATTTTTCTTTAGAGACTCACAGATGAACCTTCATTGAGATGTAAAATAATACTTTACTTTGGCTTTTAGTCAAAGATCCAAAGTAAGTGTCTTATAAAATCACTGCATCTATTATAAAAATATTGCCCACCATAACATTGTTTTCCCCTAAAAATACCATGAGATGAATTTTTTGAATTTTTCAGAGCCAAGAGGGTTTCATTTTGTGCCCACTTCTAAATAATTAAAATAAGATAACTAATTATCTTGGTATCCCTTTTCACTTTGGACACCCAGAAAATCAGTTCTAAGTTTGAAGCTTATCTACAACTATGTTGATTTTGTGGTACTTGTAATATTTTTAAAATTTTGGTTTTCTAAACTAGTGACACTTTCTCTTTTTAAAAATGTGGTCTTGGTCAACTGTTTTTATCTTACCTCAGAGTAAAATAAATCAGTAAATAAGTAGATAAAGGAGGTGACTGCTATTTGCTCCCCAGTAGTTGTTCTCTTCCTCACTAATTATATATACGTATATGCATATGCATATGTATATCTCTATCTATCTATCTATCTATCTATCTTTTTATATTAGCACCTGAGAAAAAAGACAATCTATAGTCTCTTTTTAGGCAAGGTGAGACCATGTGACTAATTCTGACCAATAGAATGTAAGCAGGTGTTTTGTGCAATTGTTCTTTCATCTTTCCTCTTTTTTTTCCAGCTGGAATGAGCACATAATTTCTGGAGCTCTGGTAACTGTTTTAAAGCACACAGAGTGGAAAAATAAGATAGAAGAAGTCTTTGCCCTTGAGATGTGAAATGCCATACCAGACTCTAACTTTCTAGGATTCTAGAACATAAGAAAAAAAGAAATTTCAGTTTTTTTTGTCGTCAAGCTCCTGATTGTTTTTTCATTACAACACTATTTGATGCTAATGAACACTGATAGATCAGTAGAAGAGAGGTTTTGGGAATGGATAAAAATTTCAAGTAATACTGATTTGTTTAATCTAAATGATGTCAAATGAGAGAAAAGTAAAAATTCAATCAATCCTTTAATATTATGTGTAAAATATATAACATCTTGATGATTCTAAATATTTATGTATTTTAAAATGTATAGTAATCTTTCAGATAATTGTCAGAATTTGTTACCAAACATTCAGTTATACAGACAAAACACAGACCTAGCCAACGACTATGCAATGCAATGTACAAATACTCTGAAGTAGGCCATGAGGTCATCAGAATCAGAATGAATTAAATAAACTCCAAAAAGAAGATCATTTCAGAAGCATGCCAATAAGATTAGGAAATTCTGGAATTTTAGAGTTAGAATTAGTCTGCATTTTAAACATTTATTTATTGACAAACCAAAGTAAAGATGATTCATAAGAGATCTTATTTGATTGATTCCTTTACCAGTAATTTTGGACCATATATATTCTCTATTTACCCATGGTCTTCAAAATCTAATAAATCTTTAAAGTTAAACAGCAATTTAATAAACAGAAAGCTGAATACTACTCTTCAGGATGATACTTAAACAATTAAGAATACTAATTAAATGTATTGCAAAACTAAAAGATCTATCTGGCAAAATATATCCCAATGTATGCTTTGATAAGAAATATTGTTTTTTAATTTTTACTCCTATCTTATTAAAACAGTTGTTGAATATGCTAAATTATATTTCCTTAATATGCTAAATTTTCCTCTCAAAATTATTTTTAATTCCAATATTATAAGTAAATACCCAGGCAAATGGATCCTTTCAAAGTTTTGTTGCCAAAGTCTGGTTCCAGAAAAATCAGCTAGAATTCATTAAAGGTCTAGAGTAAAAATGGCTATCCTAATGGTTCTTTTACAGAGGATTGATGAATTATTAATGAACATGGTCTTCAAATTTTACGACCCAAATAAACTTTTATTACATCCTATCACTTCTCTTCTGAATAGATGTTTTTAGACTTTGTTTTTAAGCTCTTTAACAGATTAGGATCACTATTTGTACATCCTACCTCAGAGCAGTTACACTTTATGAGGACAATCAGCCAATACACTGGACTGATAGTCCAATAGAAATTAGATTCAAGGTCTAGGACTTAACAGTAGAAAAAATACTTTCCCTTCCCTATGGCAATACTGAACGTGGTTGAATCACTTTTATCTACGTACCTATTTCCAAAATTTATTCATTCACTGACTTACCTATTTAACATGAATTGAGCATCTACAGCATCAAGTTACTACACTCAGTATAGTGGGTGTAGTACCCACTATACTCGATACTGTAGAAAGTCATGGCCACCACTTCCAAAATAATCACAGTTTGGAAAAAGCCACATACTCAAAAAATATAACATAAAACAAAAGCAACATACACTGTAACTATTACACACAAAACACCAGAGAAACACAACAGAAAGTATTACAAAAAAAAAAAAAAAAAAAAAAAAAGAAAAGAAAAGAAAAGGAAACCTTCATTTTGGGAGTTACTGGTGATGGACTATTTTAACAGATAAGAAAAATTAGGAAGAAAAATTTCAACTCAAGATCACACAGAAGGTTACAGAACAGGAAGTCATCATAAATCATTTTACTTCAACTCCATCTCTTTGGACCGTAAATTTTTCAACCCTTGGATTAAAACTTAGGTCTTAATAATTTGTCTCAAATTTTAATGCAACTTAAAGTGGTATGAAACTGGAAGAGATTCCAGATGCATGCCAGAAAATAAATAAATAAATAAATCCATAGTACTCTCTGGAGAAAATATCTGCATTTTAGGTCTTACATTATTCCTTTAAGTAATTGTTTAATCAATGTTCAAAACAGAAGTCAAAGATACCACATAAAAGGAAATTCTATTTCACATATACAAATGCGGAAATAATATACAAAAGAAATAGATCTTTCAAGAACTCTGATACTAAAATTTTCAGATCCATATTATAAAAATTATGTTACCATACTAGAACAAATCGACAAGAGACAAATTCACAGGAAATTGGAAAGCACATGAAGTGTCATTGTACAATCTGAAAAGAACTAAACAGAAATTTAAGAAGCAGTAAAGAGAATGTCCGAAGTTAAGAATTTAATAACTGAGTTAATCAGAAGGTTAGAAACAGATGAAGAGAGAATCAGTGACTTGTAATACTTCAGAATTAATACCCATAGTGCAATGGAATAAACAACTAGAAAAACTCAAAGCAAAAGTAAAGAGAAAGAGTAAAAAAAAAAGTAAAAAAGTAAAGCAAAAAGAGAAATTGTCTGATAGGATATGAAGAAACAGGAGTTGTCATTCACTATTGCTGGATGTTTAAATCGGTTCAATACTTTAGAAAATGTCTTGACATATCCAGCAGAGAATGGAGATATTTACAGGCAAATTAGTTTTGCCTGTTTTTGAGTGTTACATAAATATTTATCTAGCATGAAGATATGTACAGCAATGTTCCAACAATTTTACTCCTTGGGTATGAACACTTAAGAGAATCCTGGGCACCAAAATGAATACCCAAGAATGTTTATAACAACACTGTACATAATAGACCAAATCTGGGAATAATAAAAATCCAAATGTCCATCAATGTGGAAAAGATAAATCTCCTGTGGTATATAGATCCAATATGGATTCAATGTATATGGATCCAATGTAACCACATTAATCCAATGTGGTATATGGATCCAATGTAATGGACCCAATGTAATACTAAACAGCTTAAAATTTAAGAACCTGGAGCTATACACAGTAGCACAAATGGACTTTTAAAAGAATAATGTTGGGAGAAAAAAAACAATATTTGAAGAAAACAGTGTGATTCCATTTTTTAACATTCATAAACAGGTAAAGTTAATTGTGTATTTAAGGATTTACATGCAGGTGGAGATACAATAAAGAAAATGAGCGAAGTGATCACCTCTGGGTGATTAGCTCTGAGACACTGGGGAGGATATCATCAGAAAGATGCACAAGGAAAGTTGGCTTCTGTGATAATGATAGCCTTCTATTTTTTGAT